AATATAACAGAGGTACACACATAATAACCTTGTAAAATTATCAAGTTCCACATTTATTCTATATGAATCCCACTTAATCATGGTGAGCTAGTTTAGAAAGAACTTCTGAGAGTGAAATGGATTCTTCATTCTTTTGCCTATGACAGTGAGCCAGAACAATAAGGCAGGTCCCAAGAAGATATTTTCCTCTATAGAGTCAAACTCATCCAGGGCTCATTCTAGAAAATGGCCAGACACCCCAAAGCAGGACTATAGAGAGCCTGAATGTCACAATTTCTGCCTTCAGGGCCTTTCACAACTTAGTTCCTTTTTTCCTGTGCTCGCATGGTGTAACCAGATGGGCCTGGAAAACCATATGCAGCTCTGCACAGTTATGATGACCTCCCAAAAATGCTCCTTACCTTCTCCCACATGCTGTCTTCTGCCTGAGGCACCTTTCCCAAACAGATCTGTGTAGTCTGCATATCCTATGTTAATAATGCTGAGGTGGGAGGCTTGTTTAATACCTCACCTACTCAAAGACGAAGCAGACAAGCCGTGAAGGATAGAGGGTGATAAATTTTATCAGCCAGCCCAAGAAACAAGGAAATAATGAAATTCAGTATTCTCAGAAACCTATCATTCTTCTTGAGAGAACTGCCTGTTCTTTCAGAAAATATTGTTGGCATTTTCCCACGCTAGGACAAGAGTGTAATGGCTGAAAAGAAAATTAGTTCAGTGATTTTAATGTAAATAATAAGTTGTGTGTTTGATATAATTTAATTATTTAATTATCCATGAAACTCTTAATTTCTGGTAGAAACGTGGTGTACATGAAGGTGAAGCAAAGCTACTGACCTTGGAGCTAAACTGTCTCCAGAAGACACTCTCCATCCCTGGAACCTCTTGATTAAGCCAGATGAAGCCTGGCTGGAGTTAACAAGAAATACCAAATCATAACCTCCATACGAACTTGGATTTTAGAGGAAGATTGAAAGCTAATAGTTGTTGTAGCCGCAGTATTAGTAGTAGTAATAGTAGTATTTCTTAAATACTTGTTACATAATATAATAGTATAAAATATGCAGCATGAATGTCTTTTAGCACTCAGCCTTCTGACAATCGGTTTCTGAGACACAGATTTTAAAGATGATTGGGCAGGTGCTTGGTGAGATGCTAGAAAGTGTCTATGAGATTAAAGTTTCCTTTGAGAATCATATTAGTTAATCTGTGTAAGTGCCCCAACTCCATTAAAATTCAGGTTCACAGGCTTTATGACTGATGGTGTCATCAGATTGTGCACCTAATCTGATGAAAAGGCAGGCTGTTTACAGAAGGAATGGTTCTTCTCTTTCTTCATTGCCCCAGACTCATGGCCTGTTTTCCTTGCATCAGTCTGAATGATCATGTAGTTGCAGAGCAAACAGAAAAAAAACAGAGAAAAAACTGCCTAGCATAGTTATTCAGCTCAGTGCAGAGGAGCATCAAGGTTGACACCTAGGTGCTCATACCCCTTTGATCCCCTTTTTTCAGTTTTCTAATGTTATTCAGAAAAGCCAGGAATAAGTTAATGATTCAGGATATTAAAGTACCAATGGAGTTAGAAGTGGTGAATGCGCAGTAAGACACTGCTGATCCTACTCAACCATGGAGTGATGGGTACAGGCAGCCTGCTCTGACTGCACATGCTAGAGCAGGGGGCAGAACTTGAAGTTTTGACTCTGCTGTGTGACAGAACAGCCCAGCCAGGGAAGCCTCGAGGCAGATCTGAGCAGGGCACACTGTTTCTGCCTTGTCCCCTGGCCTTCTCACACCACTGCTGTGTCTAAAGCCAGGTCTACCCAGGCCTCTCCAGGACAACCACTCTGGTTACCAAACATCAGCAAAATGTTCTTCTAGGCTGTTTTATAGCCCTTTTTAGGGAAAGTAGCATATTAATGTGATCCTCCCCAAGCCTCAACGTAAGCAGAGAATAATTTAATTCTCTCATGCCAAAGCCAACCTACCAGTCAACCCTAACAACAACAAAAGCAGTAAAAACGTGGTTTTAACAAGACACCTGACAAACTGCAGTGCTTCCCTAATTATCTCCTTGTCATATCTGTTTAGTGTGAATCATGAATTGATACTTGAGCAACCAGGATCCAGTGGATGGAGCTTGTGCCTGCCAAGTCAGTGTGCAGAGCAGAGCTCAGGCACATTTAAGGCCTTTTCCATGTATTTTTTCTGTGTGAGACCAGGTCACCGAGACTGCCAAGCTCTTGGGGCAGATACTACTGCTGCATCCACTACTCTTGATCCAGGACACCTGGACCCAGATTAAGCACTACAGTACAAAAGCCAGTATCAGTTTCATGTTTCTTCTGTACTTTCCTTGCAAATGTCTTCATTACACTGACAAAATTTAAAGACTTTTCAGTTTGTCTTGAGATAAACTTTACCAGTTGTATCTGCAGTCCAGTGCTACACTGTATCTGTGATTGCACATAAAAAGAAAAGTTTACTTGCTAACTATAGTTGTGTACATTTCAAGCACAAAATACACATTAAAGCTGATTACTGAAGCTCACTCATCTTGAATCATTTAATGTTCAAAATTTAAGCAGTAAAAGAGTAATTTTATTCCAGGCTTTCCCCATGAATATTATGGCATCATCCTGTGTGGAAGTTCCTCTACTATTATTGTAACATAATACCTAACAACATAGTACAATTCACCTGTTTGTAATTTATGTGGTATTTATGTGGCAAAGAAATGGATGAATTTTAGATTATGAAGTTAGAAAGAAGCGCTGATACCCTCACAGGCATAAACCCGGGCGCTTTTTATTGCTGCTGTCATTCTCCTGCTGTAACCATTCAAGTTCTGTGTCTTCAGACTCACAATGCACCTGGGTGGGCAGGACCACTGTTCATCTGGCAAAACTCTCAGGGCCTTAAGTCCTCTGGGCCTCGGTGTTGCTGGACTTTAAAATGAGGTTAAAGTCATAGCCAAAACTGCCTATACATGTGAAAATTTACTGGCCTAAGTATAGGGATATAATTATGCCAGTATAGGCGTATCAGAATATTTTGCCATGTAGAAACATCTTGCACTTGTTGCTCCATATCTCCTTCCAGGAACGATGACTGGGTAAAAGCCAAAGTATTTGCTAAAGAATCAGTTTCAGTTCAATCTTGTTTGCACAACACTCACCTGACTACTGTAAAGATCCCTGTAAACACAGCAGGCAGGAGAGGCTCACTGTTCCACATGTGGGCTCCAAACTTCCAGCCACTTCCACTTTGGAGCTGATACTTACAGATCCAAATGGAGTTCATTTCAGAGGGACAGTGGCGTGAGGCTTCGTTACCGTGGGTCTGAGTGCACAAGAAGCCCCACGCACTGTAATGGGTTTACTCACATGAATGAGGAGTAAGTGCGGCAAAACCTATGGGCAGGAGGATGCCCACGTGTAAAACACCTGGGGATACAGAGTGCTCTGTCATTGGGACCGATTACAGCAATTACTTCAGCATTAAGACTAGACCAAGTTAAGGCTGAATCACCTGTGGCAAGCGGCAGGACATAATCCTGTTCGATCAGGAATTGACTTTAACTCCACGTCCGACAGCATCCACCGCTGTCTCCGAAGCCCCGCTGGCGGAGCTCCCCAGCCGCTCCGGCGGGACAGAAACGCCTTTGGAGCCGCCGTGAGGGTGTGGGAGGGGGCTCACAGCCGGGGCGGGTGTGGGTTGGGGCACACAGCGGCCGTGCCGTGCCGTGCCGTGCCGTGCCGTGCCGTGCCGTGCCGTGCCGTGCCGTGCCGTGCCGTGCCGTGCCGTGCCGGGGCCGCTCTCTGGCGGCGGGCGCAGCGCTCCCAGCGGGACCCGGCGGCGCGGCGGCGGGGGCGGGAATTTGGGGAGGATCCCTGGCCGGGCCGGTGCGTGTGTGTATGTGAGTGTGTGTGTGTGTGTGTGAGTGTGCCGGTGAGCGGCGCGGGGCGGCTCCGGCCGCCTGACGCCAGCCGGGCCACATCCATCCCGATCCCGATCCCGATCCCGATCTTGGATCCCGATCCCGGCGCGGAGGAGCTGCCTGCTGGCCGCCCGTCACCGCCCGCCCGCCGGTAACAACTTCGCGTCCCCCCGCGCCTCTCCCCGCTCACTGCCCGCGGCCGGGCGGCTGTGCCCGCACATCCTCCTCCTCCTCCTCCTCGTCCTCCTCCTTCCCGCCGCGGTCCTTGCCCGGCGCTGCCGCGGTGCTCTCCGGCCGCGGGCCGGGCGGCAGCGGCTCCGGGCAGCGCTGCGCTGCCGCTCTGCTCCCCGGCATGATGGCGTCCCTGCGGCGGCCCGGCGGGGACCGCTCCCGGCTCCAAGTTGGTGGGTAGGTGCCGCGCCGGGCCCGGCGGGCGGCCGAGCCCTTCCCCGCCGGGAAGCCGCCGGCCTGCGGCTCCTCCCCGGCCCCGGCCCCATCGTGGCCCGCGGGGACGCGGCGGAGCCCGGCCGGCCGGGGCAGGGGCCGCCTTTGTGTGTGCGGGAAGAGCCCTTCGCCTCCCGCCTCGGCCCAGCCGCGTCCCTCTCCCTCTAATTTATCTTCTTTCTTCTTTTCCCCCCCTTCCTTTCTTTCCTTTCTTTCCGCAGCCCCTTCCCCTCCTGGTTTGTTTTTTCTTTTCCCCCCTCCCCTCCCCTTCTTTCTTCTTTAATGACAAATCTGTGCTTAGAGGTCAAGGAAAGTTCACTTTTTTTTTTTTTCTTTTCCCTGTTAGAGGGTTTGGATGCTTGAGATTTTCCCCCTCCTCAGTATAGTTGCTTCATATACTCGTGCAGCCAAATAATCTTATCCTGAATATAGATCTTTAAAGCTTATTAAAATTTACTGGCGTGGAAATATTCAGTCATGCGTTCGAAAGGATCTGGGCCAAATACTGACTTTTTTTTTTTTTTTTTAAATATAAACTGAAGTCAGAGGCAGTTCTGACCGAGGCAGGGTTGCTGTGATTGCTCTTTTGTTAGTAGATCAATCTAAAGAAGGTACGTGGTCCAACCTTACAGTTTGCTTTTACAGTATTTGGATAACAACAGCTTGTTCTGAAAAAATACTTTTATTCTGAAAATTGATCGTTATGTTTGTGTATTTTAGGATAAAATGATGCTCGCTGCATGTCTACGGTTTTATTTGGGAAAGTATTTTTAACAGAGGTTAATAAAACCAGCGTTGTTAGAGCCAGATGGGGAGGAGTAGAAGTAGATGTGTATTTCAGATACAGGCAAATGGAAAAGATCATTGCCTGAAACATGTCAGTGTTTAATGGATGTCAGCGTGCAAAGATACTGCTCCTTAAAACTAACATGCTTCTTAGGAAAGAGCTGTCATAACTGATAGTTTAAATCTTTTGCAGACAGAGGGGAAGTCAGAAAAAGAAAACTTGTTTAATATTTTTTTCTTCCAATAGTTACATGTGTTTTTAAGCAGCACTCAGGAGTAAGAATAAAAACTATAGCTTACCCAGCCCACGGAGAACACTTCTCTGTGCAGGTGTGTGTCTGTAATTCTTCATGGGGCTGACTGTATGCACCTTGTCGTGTCAAACAATAGGAGCAAATCATGTGAGGGAACCTAAGTTTGGCTTATTTTTTTCTTTTACTTGTGAGTAATGACTTGGCTGAATTATGTGATGTGAGTTTTTTAGTTGCAGCTGATTAATACTTAATTTCCCCCATGAACCAAGGAGCAATGCTATGAAGCTTTTTCAAGATTCTTGTTGGATTGTAGTGCAGGTTTTGAGTGCTTACTACTCTGTTGTGACTGGAAGAACATCAGCATGAAAATGAGAGAGATCTGGCCCTTTTCGGAGTTCTTGCTGTGGTCTTAGGGATGAAGCCTTGCAATTTACTTCAGACTGTAAGTAGGCACTTGAGAGAAATTTCCCTTGATTTGGGTGATTTAGAAGCCAGAAGGCTTCCACAGCTATGAGAAATGATCAGTTCAAGGCATGATCAGGTTACCCTAAGGGTAGGGATTTGTCCTTGCATTTGTTTTGACCCCATTACCATTGGGTATGTAATCAAATACATTTTTTTCCTACTCTGTTCTGTTCAACTTGCTTTTTTGTGTACCCTTGAAGATGTGATGATCTGATACATTTGAGAGAAGTGACTGAGTAAACAGATGGAGATCTTTCTGTTTTGGTATAAATATTAACTATCAAATCAAATATTTGAAAACTGATGAGTTCGGTGTTTGCTTTTCCTCTGTAGTTTGAAAACAGAAGTAAAGAGTTGAACGTGAAGAAAAACAATACAAAGGTTAATAAAAGTGCTACTCATGTTTCTGAGTTCTGGAAAATTATTCAGATTAAAGTATTAATTTCTTTGTTTGCTATAAAGATTTAAATCTTAAAAATGAAGAGGTTATGAATTATTTTTTTTTTAATTAAAGCATGAATGCACTGGATATTACATATTGCCAGTGTTCTGCTCTGTGCAGCCCAAGTTGTGTGTGTAAAATATCATTTGAGTAGTCTTACAGGCCTAATGGAGGCATCATCTCAGCTTTATAAATAATGTACGTTGTGTATAATGTGGAGTCCCCAGAGACTGCAGAGAAAGCATCATTACCAGCCTTTTCAACCTGCTGGAGATCTTAAATTGATTTACAACACTGAACTGGTGCAAAATGATACATCAGGATGACACAGGGTCAACCTGTAAAAGTGTATGATGTGAGCCTGTTAGTTCAGTCATCATAATTAAACCATATTATGAGGGCAGCGAAGTAAGTGTCTGTGACATGTCCCATTGTGCTTCAGATACAGCTGGTTTAAGAATCAAATAAAGAGAGCACCGTGTGTATTATTTAACTTATGCAATGAGTAGTTGAAATAAAAGTTTGTGTCTCTGTGAAGACCAAAAGCTGAACCAATTTAGGTTGACTCTCAGCCTCTTCCTTGCAGTGTTTAGGAGCTGAAATAGATGAAGAAGGCATGTGCAGCTTTGGGATGTATGTGTGGGGAAGTGATTGTGAGTGAATCTCTGAAATTTATACATCCTTTCTCAAGGATCAGCTAGACTTTACCTGCAGACTGATACCAAGGGAACAAACAGGCAAACAGGCACATTTTTTGGCTTTTTTCCCCCCTAGTATTTCTATCCTACTGAAGTTTGTAACTGCCTGTTGAAACATTCCTGCAGATCTTGAACTATATGGCCAAACTTCTTCTAGAAGAGACTGTAACTTTGACTATCAGTTGGCATGGCTCACTTTTCTTAGTGAAGACAACTGTGGCTTCAGATTTTTTTTCAGCCCTAAAAAAGAGCATGCCATGGGTAGTAAAATGTTTGCTAAATACTCAGCATCTTAGGTCTCGCTGTTTCTGCTGGTAGAATCACTATGATGTGTTTTGGGAAAAATCCTGCAGAAACGACTTCTTTTTTCTTCTTTCTGCTAGTCAGTGTGCTGCTTGGGGATTTGAGAGTTTTGCATTTGTTAGTGTTTAAACCAGCTCCACATACCTGAATTGGTGTGAATTTTTAATCTCCTGTGGTTCTCCCAGCCCAGAAAGAAGTGTTCCTTATTTTTAATCATAAATATAAGTAAAAAAATAATTTTGAGGCATGCAAGTGAAGCAGACAAAATAAATGGTCACTAGTGGTAAGAGATTTATTAGTCTCCAGGTTCACTTGCACCTCAACAGCATGTGCTTTAGCTGAGGTGCTTTTTGAGTGGCAGATAAAGGAATTAAAGCTCACTTTGGAGTGCAGTGGCTTTTAAAATGTGACTATGGAGCTGTGACACTGCTGTGTCAGTGCAGATGGAGAAACTACTGTATTGGAGAGAGAGCCATAAAATCTGTGAAAATGAAAGTCAGATTGCACAAATTGCTTTATGGTCAGTGAAGTGATCCTACCGATGTGTGGAGGTTTTGGTTTTTGTTGATTTTGTTTGTGTTTTTTAATTTTTAAATTTCTAGTTTAGATTTTCATGACAAACTTACTCAGCTTTGCTTTCAGAGTTAGGAAAGGTCTGTTCTGCTCATAAAAGCTTCACTGTTTTTCCCTGTAGTACCAGCAGACTAATGTTCTTCCACTGGCCTTTCTTCTGTGTATAGCAAAAAACTGAATGCATACCTGTCTTAATAATTAAAAGATGATACGCAGTTCCTAGAAGTTTTCCTTTGAAATGCGCTGAGTGGAAAAATTTAAAATATAAACCCCAGCTTGGCAAGCGAGGTTTAAAATACTGGTGACTTACAGGCTCATCTACTCAGGCATCTTGCAATTCTCAAGCTATTTTGCTCAAGCTTTAGAACAGCAGAGAGAATTTTTATGTTAGAATGGAGGATTTTACTTGGGATGGGAAGGAAGTTATTTTAAATTGATACTTTGAAAGTTTTGGTGTTGTATCCCTGCAGTCTAGGGTATTTCCATTAGAATATCACTACTCTTCAAGGTTTGAAATAACCAGAGAAAATGTTTGATTGGGCCTTTTGTGGAGGGCTTTACAGAGGAGGATTCAGGGATGAGGACACCCTTGGATAATGGCTGCCACAAAGATCCCTATCCTCCTCCTCAGACAAATGGTAATTTGCATTACAGAAGCTTTTCGGGTTGCTGTGTATTTGAGTGGGGGATGCCTGTGTTTTTTAACGGGATAGAGAAGGCAAACATTTCATAAAATGGGCTGATTTCAAGGAATGAAAACATTTTCTAGAACGAACCCATATCATACAGGCTTGTCTCTCTGCATCCATTTGTCACCTGCATGTGTTGGCACTGGAAGTTCCTCCCAGTTTAATAGGAACAAAGGTTGAGCCCAGTATTCCTCATTGGACTATGCGAGGTCAAGTTTGCATGCATGAAATGCTGAACTCTGTTGAGCTGTGGAGATGGGTCCATTTGTATTATTTTTTGAGTGTGGGAAAGGAGGAAGGATGTGTCAGGAACCGTGGCAGTGGGATTGCTCTGGTGGAAGGGTTGTGGGGCCATAGTGCCACACAGCAGCTGGGCTGAGCCGTCGTGGGATTCCAAAGGGTTTTCTGCAAGCACGGATTGCTTTGCTCAGTTGTGCTCTTCTGGTCATTGCTGGCTTGGAGACTGTGTAGAAGCTGAGTTTAGATGAGTGGTTGAATCATTTTTCTTCCTGTCTCTAGACTTGCCAGAGTAGGGAAGCTGACCAGTAGAGCTATTCTGGACACACTTGCACAGTTTGGTTGTTCTAACATAACTCTGTAATTGTTCTGGTCACTTTTATTCCAATATGTGTTATCCACTCAGGAGAGTGATATTAGAACAGATGTCACCAGTCTCTCCCACTTGGTTCTTTCCCCACCCTTTCTCCAGCAAGCACAGGCGAAGTCTAGAGTACAAGGAGGAAAACAAATTATTTTTAAACATGCCTTTATATAAGTCATTATATTTAGGCACTGTTCAAAGCAGTATCATCCAAACCCAACTATTATGTTGAGTTGGCATGTAAGCAAATCATTAATGTGGTTCACCAGTGATTTCTGAAGCATTATTTCATATTTCTGTACTCATAAAGGGAACACTCTTCCCAACATGGCAGCAGATGAGACTGTCTAAGCCAGTGTAGACAGTCTGAATTATAGCACTTAATGGTATTCAGAAGTATATCACTTGCATGTTTTTGTCATTAAAACTACTAAAATGCCAATCCACATGAAAGTGATCCATGGACTATCAATCCAATATTGGGTAACTTGAAAATAAGATACCCATTAAAAATTTTGCAGTACTGAAGTGATTATAGACAGAATAATGAGAGTTTTTGCTGTCTTCTCATGTCTGTCCTCAGCATGGGTGTAAGAATCACATCTGCCCACCAGTTTTGACTGATGGACCTTGCTTCCTTCAGTACTTGGAACTTGTTTGAGGAGAAGCTGAAAATACATCCTCTCAATACAGATTTAATCCATGACTAGAACTTGGATTTCAGAGTTTGAAGCATTACAGAGTTTCTTCTACAGAGGTGGCAAGACTGATGTACGTGTTTAAGGGCGTACTTAAGTAGATGAAAGCAAAAAAAGCATATGTGCACACACTTGACACTTCCAGAGCAGGTTGAGAAGTCTTCCATGAGTTCATAAAATCTTGTATGTTCAGGTTGATTGGTGCATGCAGTGACTGTAGTTGAAGATACCTTTACTTGTTTTTTTTTTCTCACTTTGTTCAACGCTGCAAACTGGTATTTCATTCTTCTGTGTTTACATGAAAGATTAAATTACTGAGATATTTTTCTTGTAAAGAATTTCAGACTTCTGATTTCAAGCATTTTAAGGCATTGAAAATAGTTTCAGCATTCTGAATAGTGTAGCATGTTGAAACCAGGGCATGAGACTCTCAAAGATGTTTTATTCTTACAATGGTGTGTATATAGGATTCTTCAAGTGGATAGGTATGCTGTATGTGTGTGTGGACGTATGAATACCTAAAATAATAGTCACTGCTGTTGAAAGTTAAATTGTTTGGATCAGATAAAGGTAGGCTACACCTATATATAGTTGAGAAGAGCCTATAAATTTATCAAGGTCTATTTATTATTTATCTAACTATTTATATATAAATACTTAAATGCCGTTTAAATGCTTAAAAGCTTAAAATCAGTTTTGGTTAAAGATGAAGTGAATAACTGGAGAATCATGTTGCAACAAATTGTGGCTTTCCCTTAAATGTGTTCTAAGGGTGATAGGAGGAGGAAACATCTGCTGTTTGGTCAGATGCTGTTAATGAGCTGCATATTTGACTTCATTCTGCCAGTGTATTTCACCTTTGTATCTGTTAGGTTTCATTTGAATATTGATGTGGGAGGAATTAATCAAGCACCCTTGTTGTCTTACTAGTAAGGACTTTGATTCAGCTGATAGGTTGAAGGAGAAATATGTA